TCTCTCCCTCATATGCTCTTCATTCGTCTCTTGGAACCAACTGATCGCTTCCCATTCGACTTCCGCTCAACAATCAGTCTAGAGTAGGCTGTTAGTCAAAAGTCTTCTCAGAGTATGCCTAGTCCATCTCCTTTCCTTCTGCATATTTGTTGCCAGAGTTCCTTTCCTGTCGAAGGAAGGCCATTTGCTGATGAACGTCTGCAATACCCGCCTGTTGCATATGCTTTCGGTGATGAGTGTGAAAAGTCTCCGAATCATATAGAAACACTATCTGACTTGAGATTGGTGGTAACTGAATAAACAGACATTATTATTATTATTATTATTGTTCCCTTGGGTTCCTAGTGTGGTGAGAGCAGGCTGCTAGCCGATTGGTTGGCACTAATCTACGTTAAGGTCTAGGTCACTAATATGGGCCGTGAACAAGGCTGAGTCAACAACCAATCACAGCGAAGTTAACGTGGCAAAATATGATTCGCAGATAGAGAACTCTGTTTGTCAAGGAATCCCGAAACAACCAATCAGAAGCCTGCGTTTGTCTACCTAAACAACCAATCAGATGACTGCGCTTGTCTATAATAATGTTGTCTGAAATATGTATAAATACGTGTTGATTTTCATAATAAAACGATCTGTTGCCTGGCCCTTGTCTTCTGTTGTTACATTTGGTGTCGCTGCCTACCGACAAATGAAAAGCCTATACCCTGCAGTTTTTGATGGAGACATATGGATCTTCGGGCAGGACTTCAAGGCTTCTGCGCAGTTGAGTGGCGTTCAAGATCTGTCAGCGATGGAGCTGCTACTTGAGACGCTGCTGGGAGGTCGGGCGAAAGCAGCATATGAAGGTGTGGGCCGAAGTATGGACGAATGTTCGACAGGGTCAGGCAAACAGTTTCCAAAGTGGGAAGGACCATATATGGTCACTTCGAGATGGGGTTACGCAGACACAGTCGCAATGGCGAACAATGAGAGGCGCGTGAACGTCAGCGAGCTCCAGAAATGGATACAGCGAGACAAGCCAACGATGACGCCTGCACCAAGTAGATCAAGCCGACTTCAGTCGCACGTATTTGACGGGGGGACGAGTGTGGTGAGAGCAGGCTGCTAGCCGATTGGTTGGCACTAATCTACGTTAAGGTCTAGGTCACTAATATGGGCCGTGAACAAGGCTGAGTCAACAACCAATCACAGCGAAGTTAACGTGGCAAAATATGATTCGCAGATAGAGAACTCTGTTTGTCAAGGAATCCCGAAACAACCAATCAGAAGCCTGCGTTTGTCTACCTAAACAACCAATCAGATGACTGCGCTTGTCTATAATAATGTTGTCTGAAATATGTATAAATACGTGTTGATTTTCATAATAAAACGATCTGTTGCCTGGCCCTTGTCTTCTGTTGTTACACTAGTAGAACATAGGGCTTCAACTACACGTCTTCACTTGCCACTTCTGTCTTCCTTCTCCTGTACTTTTCACCTGCATCCATGTTAGTCCATACCGTCTCAACTCCTCTTCACACGATCTCCTCCATATCACCCACCACCCTTGGACACGTCCCACTCACCGCTTCCCTTTCAGCCTGGTTCCACTCGAGCAATGGCCTGACGCGCGTGCGATGTCACCCGGCTGCGGCCTCCTTCACTTTCTCCTGCATATTTGTTGGCTGGTTGGCGATTTTGGTTCTTGTTTTGTTTGTTTGTTTGTTCCCATATTTTCTTGTTGTTGGTGATTCTTTCCAGCCCGGCCATCTGATCCTCAGTATAGAGCCAGCGAAGACGTTAGTTGTTGATAAATGTCTGCAACAGGCTGTTGAAAATATTCTTTGTGACCGCCCGTCAAGTTTCTGATCCGTATAGAACATTATATTAACTGCATAAACTGTGGTCATGCTGTAGAATATGCTACTGATAAGGTTTATCAGTAGTATATGGTATAGGAGAAAAACATTCAGCGGTACATAAAAAATATCAAATAGTAGAGAGACAGATTTCACAATCAACCAGTATTGCAGCAAAACATGGGAGACACGAAAAGAAGACAAAGAAACACACAACACGGAGGATCTGTACAAGTGACGACTATTAAGATACCATTTATTATTATTCTCTTGCGTTCCGAGTGGAACATAGGGCTGGCTTCAACAACACATCTCCACTTTCTTCTATTTCCTGGTGTCCTCTGCAGCTGGGTCGATGACTGGCTATAACCTTTCATCTCCTCGTCGCAAAATCTCCACCAATTCACCCTTCGACGACCCACTCATCGCTTACCGACTCTATCGACTTTGCTGTGTAGTGAAGGTATCCTGTGTAGTTTTGTCCTTCAGTTTCTGAATGTTGAAGTTGAATTACAGTGGCCTATCTCCAGTTGCTGTTTTCAAGGATTTCACATTCACCTTGAAGGTTACTTGGACTAGATGATGGTCTAAGCCCACATATACTCGAGTTATCGACTTTGTATCCAGCAGGCCAACTGCGTCTCCAATTCTTTGGGCAGCATTGAGATGAAAGCTATCTGGTTTGTGGTATTTCCGTCAGGCGGAATCGATATCGCTGTTCTTGTGTATATATCTTTGTGCTTGTACATGCTGACTTCAATCGCCAAATCACTGAAAGCGCAGCAGTCTGTGAAGAGTTCTCCGTTATCATTCATTTCGACTGGAGAGAGCTCCTTGATCCATGATGAGTTCGCTCCCAGTATCTGCCTGCTCCATCAGCTGGTATTCATATCGGCCATTAGGATTTTGATGTCTTCATTTGGGATGTTGTCCATTACTGTTTGTAGTTGTCTGAAGAAATTGCCCTTTTTGCCTTTTTCCGTGTTGTTTTTAGAATTGTGCGTAGGATTGCTCCATTATAACCTTCATTATTTTTGAGTTGAGTCTTGCTGTCATAGATCTGCAAAAAGAGAATTGGTTCTCACTGCATAAGGGCTTTGGCTGCCACTGGTGACATCATGAGAGGCGCTCACTGCCGCTGTGTGCTCGTGGTTGTAGTCATCTGGATGACCAAACCGGAGTAGATTACTGACTCTCCAGTTGTCAATTTCGATAATCCACATTCATTCCATTTGCTCTCGCAGACTGCGAGCACTCCTATAACTATATCTACTGATTTCTTTGGCTGCCTGAACAGCCTTTCCAGTCGACTTCGTACATTGTACGAACATTCCACATCTGCATTTTTATTCTTGCTTTCATAGAGAGAAGACCAGCCCGCTGTGTCAGTTCGCCTCTCCGATTCCAGCGAAGAATAATTTTGCTTTTTAAAGATATATTTTTTGTATTTCTGATATTTTTCTTGTATGTTGAAGTTTCTGTAGCAGTTTGATTGGTTTTGTGGTGTGTGTGTGGGGTCACTATTGCCATGCCCAACCTCCTCCTCCATCGTTACCCGCGCTTGGGACTGGCTAGAAATCCAGCGTGTTACTAATCAAGGCTTGGCTAAGGGAATAATAATTGTTATAGTAAGCTTCGCGAGGTTACTGTCTCTGATTTAGTTTTTTTTTGTCTTCTATTCCTTGCGTTCTTTTTCCTAGCTGCTAGTCACTTAAGCGCGCAGCTCAAGAGTGCGTCAGCCGGGAGTCGAACACGGCCATGTGTGTGTGCTTCGCGGGCATTCTGGCACTTAATCACTTTATACCTCTTACTGTTTGCTGAATGTTTTTTTTTTGAAAAAAAGACAAGTAGTTCAACGAAATGAATGTTTCCAGCAGTCCTCTCTTCTTTAGTTTTTTGCCGTATATTAGGCTTTTGTCTCACATTTGTATTGATGTAAATGGAGAAACTGGAGGTTTGTTAATACGGTAACAACAGAAGATAAGGGTCAGGAAACAGATCGTTTATTTACGAAATCAACACAGATATTTATAGATTTTCTTGTACGAAGTCGTGAAGCTACATCGACTGAGATGGTTAGGACATGTGTTACGTATGCCAAGTCATCGCCTCTTTCGACGAGCTATGTTAGCGGATATAGGGTCAGGCTGGAAAAAAGCTAGTGGCGGCCAAACAAAAACTTGGCACCAGTCATTGAAATCCACAACAGTTGGTCTAAGCCACGTAGGAAGGTGTAGACTTCCAGGCTGGGGTCCTCGGGACGGTAAAAATCTATGGTTGGAAACAATTGGTGACATGTCTCGAAATCGTTCTCAGTGGCGCAGATGCATCCACTCCTTGTGACTTATGATCTCCAATGAAACTGTTTTGTTATTCTTTATTCTCCTTTGTCTCACACCTCTGCTCACTGTTTCTATTATGCTTTTCTTGTACTTTCTTCTCTTGCTTCGCGTGCTACACGGAGTGTGGCGACTTGAACTGGTGCACATTTGTGCAAAGTTCTATGTCGAAAACAGACAGACAGACAGACATTATCATAGATTATTGTTAGCAGAAAAACACAGTCTTCTGATTGGTGGTGGTATCTCGTTGAACGTGAATCTTTCATCTATTTGTGACCGTTTATTAAAGTTCAGATTATCTATCTGTAAATTGTATCCGCCTACACAAAGTCTTCTGTGATTGGTTGTTGAGTCAGTCTTATCATTGTGTGTAAACTATTGAAATATATATAATTATACTTTATTTGATCTACTCCACAATGCTCAAACGTTTTACTCATATTGAGTCAGTCTTTGTTCTCAATTTTCTCATGACCAATAATACTGGGGACGTAAACATTGACATAAATTACTGCCTACCAATTTTTGGCTAGGAGCCAGCTGTCACTACAATATGAATAATTAAACAGATGTTGAGATATATGTCACACAAAAACTCTAGAAGGCTCCTATCAAATGAGAAATATTTTTTCTTAACGAAGTTCCTTTAGGCAATACAAACGATAAACTATTATCAATGTTCAATTGCTGCTCAAAACATCATCATAAGAAAAATTTATTCAAACGAAGACCAACAAGTATAAAAAGCGTAAAATGGTGTCTAATAATAATAATGATAATAATAATAATGATTAATTACTAAGCTTTAAATTGAACTAACCTCAAACACTCCCATTCTCTTGCTAAGCGTACATCCATCAAATGTCCAAAATGCCAAATGTCCTTTACCACATGTAACTAAAGTAGCATCATCTAATGGATGAAATTCAATAGCAGTTATCGGTTCTGTTGAACACTAAAACAAAAAAAAAAGAAAAATTAAAAGAAACAGAAAGTAGAAATAAATTTTTGTGAAATAAATCCTCTCTTTGTGATATGTTAAATCATTCAGGGAAAAATTCTGTTGATCTTCAATGTTACTAAGATTCTTTTGGCCTCATGTGCGTCGGTGGCACAGTGGTTAAGATCCTCGCCTACATGACATGGTCCGGGGTTCGAGCCCACGCCGACGCACACCCGATATCTATGGTCGGCCTGCGATTTCGGGCTACCGATATCCACGCTGAAAATTCCATACTTGTACCAAAAAACGGTGTGGAATCAAGCTGTAAATAAAAAATAAAAAAAATAAAAATAAAAAAACCTACACTTCTGTTGATTATCTCTTTCTCCCTCTCTCTCTCTCTCTTTTGGATCCATCTTACATCTCCTGTCTAATTTTAATAATAATAATGACTTAGGCCAAGTTAAACTGTAAGCACCACTAACTACCAATCAGCGAACAACGTCGAATTATCCAATGAGATTCACGAACGTGAGTTCAATGTAGAATAGCGCTTGATTCATTTTAAATGCATGCCTTAACAAGATTACGGTTGCAATTCGAGGAGGATAGTGTTTTCCAGTATTGCCTGGATTTTCATTGCTTCGGAAAGAGGGTGGTGATGTCATGACCTTAAAAAGCTTTAGCAGGTCAACTGATGGTTATGTCCATGGTTGTGTAATATGTTTGAGGCGAGTTAGCATAAGGAGAAGGTGAGCTGATAATTTTAATAATTCGTAAGAACTTTTTTTGCAAGGTCACATCTCTCCTTAACGCAAATTTTGTATATTTGCAACTAGTGGGTCTTGTAACAGCCAGTGAGATTCGCAGCTGCTGAAACGGAGAATAACCTTGTCTCAACAGTTCACCAGTATCAGCAATGCAGAGATATTGCTTCTTGGAAAATGGAGGAAATCAATTCTGTGTTGGGTGGAGAAGACATTGTTGTGCACCTCGATGAAACTGTGTTGGTGAAAAAGGAGTACAACCGTGGTCGCCAGCGAGCAAACAACATTTGGGTATCAGGGTTTGTATGACACCTCCCTCCGAAAGAAATTCGTCGAAAGGATTGCAGACAGAAAACCAACTACAATTATCCCTTATTATTACACGACTTGTAAAACAGGGATCAATAATACACACAGAGGAATGGAAAGGTTACAATTCCCAGTCATCTCTGGGATATATTCATCATAGAGTCAACCATTCAAGTGATTTTGTGGATCCCGTTACGAGAACTCATACAAATTCTATTGAAGGATTTTGGGGCCGGTTGAAAAATAGGATAAGGGCTATAAATGGATTTTAAAAGGATCTCATTTATTGTCATTTGGATGAATATATTTACAGAATGTGATGTAACTTTTCTATTGAAAGTCCGAAGCTTCACTGGGAGATGTTTCTCTCATATGTCACTGTTTTATGCTTTTTTTCTATTAATATACGTTTCCATTTATCATAAATGCCTCTTCAATGTGATTGGTCCGTTCAAGGTCGTTTGCTAGTGGTGTCGAAAGTTCAACTTTGCCATGATTTACTTTATTCCAAAAACAGTACTTGTGATAGAGAATGAAATTTTCAGCATTAATCACAATATTCCATCTAATTTACTCAAATTATAAATAAAATTAATCACACAGAAAATTTTCCACATTTACAATAGAGGTAGTGTCAAAAACATGCAGAATATAAAATGGAAATAACAATAATAATGATAACAGCTAAGGTAATAATAATAGTAATAATACAAGTGAAAATTGCTGTAGGCTTGCTTCACACAGTATTCTCGATGCGGTATAGAAATCCTAGCAAGTTTAAAAATATTGAATATAATCTTCTCTTTACATGATATAGTGAGGGGAAAAATAAAGATTACAGCAGTCATGCAGATAAGTTGGTGTTTGCAATTATGAGAGTAAAACAGAGAAGTAACAGGACCATAAATATAATAGAAATAATAACAGTAAAACTTGAAGGTATATAAGGATGGATGGATGAATGGAGGAAATTGTTTATTTACTAGATGAAAAAAAGTTAGTAATCTTTAAATACGTGACAAGTATGGTATCAGAGAATTCCTATACTTAGACGTGCGACCATACAGTTTCCTGAAGTTACTTCTTGTTCTACCTGAGGAGGTGCTACGTGAAAGCTGAGGGTGGAGTGGATGCTCCAAGTCAGACGAAATCCCTCTAGCAAATTTATTGCACGAATTCAAGTGCCTATCGACATTGACGTTAACTGTGTGGTCCACTGGGACACCACTCACTCTACTGACCGTTTTCAGTAATCTACAAATTGTGACATAGTCCTTTCTAAGCAAACCAAGAAAGAATAAGGGTGAACAATCAAGAAGAATAGATAAGATGCAAGAGTTTATGAACTGTAAGAGGAGGGGTTGAGTTATACCCGAGAGTGCCTTAACTTCTTAATGTAAAATGTCAGGCGGAATATTTTACTGGAGATCGCTAAGCCATGAGAAGACCAGGAGAGACTAGAAGAGAGAATAAGTCCAAGGTACTTAATTTCTGATTTAATTGCTATATCACTGCCGTCAATCTTACAACTCTCATGAGAATCAGCGGCTTCTTTTAACTGTCTTTTACATCTTAAGCTGAAATTAACAGTTTGACATTCAGAAGGATTCAGTTTAAGATCGTGTGCTACATGAAGGGATTGTGGCAACTAGAACTGCTGCACACCTATGTAAAGTTCTACATTGAAACCAGTCCGTCAGTCAGTGTATTATCACTAGTGGATAAAGGTGTTCACATTGAGACCCAATGTACGATTTACCTCACGGCCTAGAATTATACCCTAAACTATACTCACTCATATCATCACAACTGATGCATGGATCGATTCAATCTGGCTAAGAAGCACACCTAACTGATACCCCTGGTATCCGCCACTACTACTACTACTACTCATATCCATGAATCAGTAGTATGTACACCACCATGCACCACTACACAATTTAATTTTGCTAGTTGAATCAATACAAGACTGCATGAAATAAGCACAGAATTAGTCACCTCCATCAGTATTTTATTTTACCGAGAAAATCAAAAGACCACCAAAAACTAGTTATGCACACATACATATATTTATGATTTGCAAAAGGCGACCCGCCCTCCCTCCACACACACACACGCACACTACCTCCCTGGTTGATCTAATAATTCTACGCAATAAAACCGAAAATGAGATGATGCCTAAGAATTGGAAATCAATCAAATTACGCACACACACACACACACACACAAACATTGCTCATAGAGAATAATGCTAGTCATGACAGTGACTCACAATTCATTGTTATTGTTAATGTGTCTGGTTTGATTTGCTAAATCAGTGGGGCTTTATTAGTCCGGTAACCGATCAATTCTTAAGTCGCTAAGGTCAATTAGATGTGCTTCTACTCGTACATCGAAATGCGCGTTATCCTGGATTCGACTGCTAGCCACCATCCACCAATTGTATACAATCAAACAGACATCGTCGAAGCATCTGCACAAGAAGCCGACAGACATGTCAACCTGAGACCGAGCATTTCGGTCCAATCAATCGACGGGAAAATCAAGAATTCAATTCAAATACACTACTGGTTGTCATCACTCCAGATGGCTACAGGATTTCATTACCAGCTGATACCGGTTGGAAAACCATTGAAAAATCTGCAAGGAGTACTGGACAGCTGTTTCCTTTTAGTTTGCGAAGCAGTACGCACTCACGAGCTCGCCTTGTAGCCAGAATGTCCTAGGTTCGAACTCTGTCGGTGGGTGCGTATAGATGAAGAGTTCTGAACTAGAACGAAGCAGCTGCTGAGTACTCCCCCCGCAGGTTTTCCAATGGTTCTCCAACCGATTTCAGCATATGATGAAATCCTGTAACCAATCAATCAAATCCCTGTAAATCAATACTTGAAAAACAACTGTATGAGCTTGGGTGTAGTTCCTTGATTAATGTGATATGGATAGTTTTTAGGAACTTTTTTTACGGCCAGATACTGTCACAGCCCCCCCCCACACACACACACACACACAACTTTGGTCAAAGAAGCTAATTGTCATTATCAGATTAAGAAACATACCAAGTGTTAGGCACTACTTCAGCTTCATCGGGTTTCGGAAAGGCCTATGACAACTTTGGCTGCTTCAACATTACCGGGGTGATCCAAACTTTTATCAACCAAATTCCTAAAGTCAAGTGATTTACAACAGTCAACTCACAGAAGCGTTCAAAGAGAAGATAGGAATAAAACAAGGCTACCTAGTATCACCGATGATATTCCTGATTGTAGTGGACTGGGTCATGCAGCAGGTCGTGATGAGCACGAAGTCGGGAATATGCTGGACCTATAAGAAGATTCTAGAAGATCTGGACTTCGCGAATGATTAATGTATAATGTTGCATAAATTCTAAACCTCACAGGAGAAAGCAAAGAAGTTGGAAGAATAAGCAGCAAGCCAAGACTCCAAGTGGATATAGAGAAGACGGATGTGATGAAGATAACCAACCACCACCACCACCACCAGCAACAACAACAACAACAACTAGCACCAATCACTATCAGGGAGACAAATTTGGAAGAGGTCACTTCGTCTACTTATCTAGGCACCACTGTTTCAACTTCATACGACATCAAGGATGAGGATGTAAAAAACCGGAATTGGAAAGGCAAGGCATACTTCCACCACCCTGAAATCTGTTTGGAAATCTTCTGCACTCAGCCGCCATAAGGTACAAAGTACGGATTTTCAAAACCAACGGTAATACAGTCACTTCCTCTATATGGTTCAGAAATTTATCCAGTGCGTCACCAAAAGCATCCCCAACAAGCTATTGCAGATATTTATCGACAGGTGCTATCCCTGGTTCCATACTGACGATTAGATAGCCGGAGGGAGATAATTAGCAATATGAAACTCTGGGGATGAACCAACCAAGAATTTATTGCTCAATTAATATTT